GCAGAAATGCTTGGGGATGGTTCAGAGCCACCCGGCAGGGGCCAACACATCCAAGGGCAACATGGGTTTTGGAGGTATTTTTTTGGCTCTCCCTGAGCCAGCACAAGGAGAACCAGCCCCATGCCGCTTCCCATGGCACCTCCCAGGTGTCATGCTGAGCGCCGGCCTGGTGTACCTTTCCACTCATGCTGCCATCCCAGCCTGGGTCCCAGCATGCCCCCCACTGCTGCTCCCACCCGCTGAGGGGCTATTTGCCCTTCCCCATGAGAGAGCTGCTGCCCTCCTGAGCAGCTCTGAATCGTCCCCTGCAATGTCTGCCTGCCCTGGCAGGAAAGTGTGGCTGCCAGACCCCGAGCGAGCCCCACAGCATGCCGGGGTATGCCCTCAGACCCTCAGATACCACCGCCAGGGTGGGTGGCAGCTAGGGTCCCCCCACAGCCAGCATCAGAGGCCAGGGTGAGCTCCCACCCACAGCTCTTGTCCCAGGAATGAGCCTAAAATCCCCCTCCGCCATTTCCTTGCCACGCCACCAAGCTGCACCGCTTTGACCTTTTCAGAGAAATCTGCCTGGACGTTTCAGTTCTGCCCGCCTCGCAGCCTCAGCAGAGAGGGAGCTGGGCTGACTGGCTTGTCAGAGCTGAGCTCACTGTAAAGGTCAGAGAGGCACAGCCTGCCCCTGCCGCTCAGGGAGCTGCCGGACCTGCAAACTCGGTTGTCGTCTTCCCCATGATAACGGCTGCCATTGCTGCTTGAAAAGGGTACAAATGCAATCCTGTTAGTACAACAGTTTGGGCTGTGGTCTTGGATGGGCTCACTGGGACAGGCAGGGTGCTCTGTGCTGGCGCCTTTCCAGAGAAAACTGAGAAGAGTCCACACAAGAAGCTGCTTTTAGGGCTGATCACTTCTTGGAGCTACCTACTCCTGCACTCAAAGGCCAAAAGCCTTGTGTTCCTCATAACGTATTTGGGTCTGCTTGAAAGAAACAGTAAAAAGCCCCGGGGACTCAGAAACTGTAAAGACACAGCATAAAAACCAAAACTTCAAGCACAAGAGCACCTCTCCCAACCATACACAAATTGCTTCCATATTTTACAAGTTTTGAAGAGCAGGTGTATATGCTTTGTAAATCAGCAAGCCTGACCCTGAAGCCATCCAAAACTCATGCTCAAAAACTTCTGAGTGTCTGAGGCTCAGGTGACATCATTCTCCAAAGGGTTCTTTCATCTAAGGCACCAAAAATGTAGGGATTTTTGAAGCAGAACAACAGAAGCCCCGAAAACTTGCTCTGTGTGCCAGGAAATGCAATGCATAATGGGGAACACACGCACACACAATCCCTTCAGTATAAGTGAGAAGCAAAACAGCCCCCATCTTCTGTACTTATGGGGTTAAACTGACCTGCAGACAAAAAGCCACTGCCTGTGATGTATGAGCATTTTGAAACGAAATCTTGGCCTCTGTGTCTCTTGCCTGCCCTCCCACACCTCTGCATTCTGCCTGGGGACCGCAGGCACAACACAGGGACATGGCTGAGGAGGTGCTGCCACCCAAGTGCTTCTGCAGTGCCCCGCACTGTAGTGCCTTTGGGTCTTTCAAGGACTGCAAGACCCCTCTTACCCCCATCACACATAGGTACAGAAATTTTGCGATTCCCCCCCATTTGCAGCACAGAACTGAAGACAAAGACCCCAGGGGCTGGCTTTGGGACAACTGCAGGGGTTCCCCTCCCACCTATCTGCCTCTCCTGGGCACTGTGCGTTTCTGCCACCACTGCTACAGTTCACACTTTGGTGTGTCAAAGTTACCTGGTACCGATTTCACTGTACCGTAACGCCCCAGAAAGCTGGACCTTGGCCACTACCAGGAGAGCTCAGGTTTGCTCACTTATCCCAGCAGCACTCGCAAGGGCTGTGGCTACAAGAGCAAGTCAGTGCAGCCCAATAGGAGCAGATCTTAGGGCAAAGCACTCAGGGCTGAGGATATGACATCCACGTGACACACGTTTTGGGGGGGTGACATCAGACTAGCTGCAGTCTGGACCTATGGACTGAGCTGGGAAGTGGATGGAGTGCTCCTGGAGAGCATCTTCCAGTTTAATCTTCCCCCACAAGGAACCCAGACTATGCACTCTGAGGCCACCCCACAAGGTGAATAGAAGCAGAGTGCATGGGAGCAACCAGGAGGTTTGCTCCAAAGGGCATCCCCAGCCTGAACTGAGCCAGTAACACAGGTATTTCCAGATCATCCATCTGCCCTGGACACAGAAGTGGAAGAGCCCCAGCACTGCTGCTCACCAGATACTGACTGTGCAAGCAGTCCAGGTGGATCCAGGCACCCTGACATGAGGCACAAGCACAGTGGGCACAGGCAGAGAAGGAGAAGGAGAGGGAATGTGTTTAGGGCAACGGGCTTGCCAATGATGTAGAGGAAGATGGACACAGAAGAATAGTCCCTGCTTGTGCACACTGGGATCCCGCAGGACAGGACAGGGTTTCCCTGCCATCGCATCCCCATCTCCATTCCCAGCCCACACTGTGCTCCTGCAGGCTGCAGCGATGGAGGAGGGAGGTGCTCCCCAAACCTGAGCGGTCACCCCACAGCTGTGTGAAGGCCTGGCCATGGGGCTGGAAGCAGTATGACAGGAGTGTTCAGCTCAGCCCCAGCCTCTAGCAGGAGAAGGTGGTTGGGCAAGCTGGCCTGCAGCCCTGGCAGCTCCAGAAAAGAGCTGCTGTAAGATATGAAACCTCATCATTGTGAAAGGGGGAGGTGGTGGTTCATGCTCAGGCAAGGGGCTCTGAGGTGACTTCCACTGATGGCATGAGATGCAGTTTGCTGAATGTCACCTGGCATGGATGAGGTGCGGGCAGGCAGCCAGCTTGCCCCGCTGCACCTCCACAGAGCTCTCCCCCCGCAGCACAGCAGCCGTGTTAACCCTCCGGGAGCACTGTCCGTCTCCACCAGCCAGGGCAGCTAACAGCGTGGCTAAGGCCGCCTCCAGGACCCAGCACTTAACCCACTGCTGCAAGACAACTCCCACAGGACTGGGGTGGTTTGGGGTTGAGAACCCTCCTTGTAGTAGTACATTAGGGGTAACTTTAAGGAAGTACCAGTACCTGGTCTAAAGCATTGCTGTAGCTGCAGGAGCTGCACCCTGTGCTTAGACAATTACCTTAAAAATCACTCTCAGATGAGGCTCAGATAAAAACAGAAGCGCTAGTTTACAAAATCTAAACTAGACAGTGTACAGAAGTTTATCAGACTTGTCCATGAAGAATAGCAAAGATCCTGATGCCTCTGCCTGCCTGGCACCCACAGCCTGCAATGCCCATACACAAATAGCTGATGCTTCTCCGCCTGCGGCCCTGTCCATGTGTTACCTGGCTTCCTAACTCTGCACTCAGGCAGAGAGAATTTGGGGTGACATGCCCACACTTTCTCCCCTACCTGAACATGAACTTTCAGGACTTCTTTGTACTCCAGCCTCCCTTCCCCTTTCTTCCTGGAAGCCAGACTTTCCTACCTCTGCTGACCCTCTCTGCTGTGGGGTAAGAGGTTTCTCCTTTCCGCCAGGGAAGGGGTCAACTCTTGGGCCATGGCTTAACAAGATCCGGCATTGGCATTGCTGCTGAAGTTCCCACATCACCAAATCACAGGCCGAGCATAAAGCACCTCCCCACCAGCAGGCCTACAGGGACATGAAGAACTGTAAAGACCAGAGCCCAGCATGACAGTAACCAGCCACTTGCTTATCACTGAGGAGGTAGGCTGGGGTGAGCTGGCTGTCCTCAAACCCATCTCAGAGGCTGTGGGGTTCAGTTGCCCTGTCCCACTGCCTGTATATAACACATACTGGCATGTGAAAGTCTGCACGGTTAGACATGAAAGGTTTTTCATTTCCATTGCACCACTCTCTGCCTGCTTGAACCTGGCTGCTGTTCAGTCACCCTCATCAATGCTTGAATAGGACAGTTGCAAAGAAAAATATGTTGGACTAAAACAGTGGAGGAAATATCGGTCAGTCAAGGGGCATAAATATTTAAGAAAATGCATCAAAGCAAAGGAATGAGGATGAAAGGGGTTAATGCTTGTTTTTAGAGACCGACAGGACTTGTCATATTTTTGGCTTTATAGGGAAGAACAAAGACAGGAAGATAAAGGCAAACGTCACAAGAAAGGTGGTGTAAAATCGGGAAGGTGCCAGGTAGCACTGGTTTTGAGTTTCATGAAAAAGCAGGGACATCTCAAACAGCCAGATGCCCATGTAATGTTATTTTTGGACACCACTTCAGTACTGACTTGGAGGGAAGTGTGACATTTACTGAGTCACCTCCACCACTTCCTGCAACACCTGGAGCTTACTTCAAGGGCTCTCATTTAGATACTGAGAACTTGCTCAGTGTTCAGGCTGAAAATAACACCTTTTACTTTCATTTTTTTTTCTGCAAAGCTCTGCTGAAAGCACAATCTGTGATGCAACTGCCTCCGGTGCAGCTCCAGTCCTCATGTGCAGTTCACACAGCACAATGAAAGAGCAACTTAAAAGTTGTCAGTCATCTCCTGCTACTCCCAGGAAGTAATCATCAACACGTAGTTGCTTTCTCCTTGGATCCAGTAACCAGCGATAAGACTTTCTTTTTCCAAGTCGCCCTAACCATGCTGCATCCTGAACACTGATGGAGCTTCTCGCTGTTTCCTCTGATTGCACCAGTAAGCTGTGGCCTCCTCAGCCTCAAACATGTGCCACAGTGACTGCAGCGTGAACCGAAATAATTTTGAAGGACGGCTCTGAATCTCTGCCGTTGTGAAAAGTCATTCAGTGTTCCCATATCCCCTACATGCTCCTGCCAGAGCCCTTCGGGGGTCAGGATGCACAGCCCCAAAGTGCAAGCAACTTCAGAGAAAGAGGAGTTGAAAAGAAAAGCTAAATCTAGTTAAAAAAAAAAACAAACACCAAACACAAACAAATATTTCTTTAGTTTCATATTTAATTTATTTTTACACATTTCTTCTGTTTTTAAATATTCCCCTTGCTGGGGATGTAAAACTGATGAATTCATAGTGTATAAAACCATTTAGGCTTTAACCCCCCCCTGTTTTGATATATAGCCTATTAACAAGGAAAGGACAGATTTTCCAACTTGGTATTACAGAATTTACACAACATTTCACATCCAATCAAAAAACATTTATGGTGTTTCTTTCAAAAGCCAAAGCTGGATAAAGAACATTCTGGCCTTACGAAGACAAAACCTTTCATTAAAAGCCATTATGGTGGCAAAGGATCAGCCACTTAAACCCAAGCATCTTTGTTGGCAGCGCATCCATTAAAACAACTGCTCATACAGGATATGACATGTGAATGTTTAGTTTGTGCAAAAGAAAGAAAAAAAGCAAAAAAAGGGTCAAATACTAACTTTTGGTGAGCAGCCGAGAGCTTTTCATACTGTGTAGAAATGTCAAAGGTGAAAGAGGAACTGGGTTGTTTGCTGTTAGAAATGTCTCCTCCTGCATCATGCTGGCCTGTGAGAGCTGTACATGCAGAAGGACCATGCAAGTCCTAGGAAAGGATGAAAAACATTCCTTTCTTATGAAATACACCGTTTTTTTCAGGTGCCATTCCACTTCAGAGTCAGAGGGGAGTAAAAGTGCAAAGCTGTCTGCAAAGAGCTGCGAAACCATGTTGCTTAGCCTGTGGATTTCGATGACAAGACCCCCGAGACCCACTGAACAGTGGCTCTGCAGCACAGCAGTGCGACAGGAGAACAGTGCTTGCCAAGCAAAGAGCAAATCTGCTGGTGCAGAGACTGTGTCAATACTCTAGTTGCTCTGGTGCTTTGGGCAAACTCTAAATTTAAGGGGAGAGTTCATTTGTTTTCAATCTCTCATTGGTTTCTCTAGTCTGGGATATTGACCAAAAAGGCACTGAAAAATGTAATGTGGACAACAAACTGTCTATTAAAAAAAATACTGCTGCATTAAGCCTCCAGGGCCTCGGAGGTTTCACACAGGTATACGACTGGACATTCAGCTCTGAAAAATGAGGCTGGGCAGAGTAAAACAAAATTATCTTCTTTCCAGCTGGATGTATTTTACAGCCTGTCAGTCTGCCACGTTAAATGAAAGAAGGGAAAGACCACATGTGACGTGTACCCAAGCTGAGATTTTCTGATCAACCTTTTTTTTCTCTTTCTACTGGTAAACCTGGGGATTTTGTTCCGCCAGCCTTTGAAAACACAGTGCAGGCTGAGGCTGGTTATGAAGCAAAACAAGGAGAGGGCTGTTGTGGCCAACTGTGCTTCCTTTCTTGTGGGACTTGTCAGAAGAGGCATGCTGTATTTTTACTGGAAGGGGAGATTAATCATCTGGGAGATGAAAACACGAGAGAAGAGAAATAGGGTCTATTGAGACGCTTCCAGCTGCATGTCCATCCTGCCCCTTGCCCAGCATCTGTCTGGCCTTTCAGGCAGGCTTGGCACCCAGAGGTCTCCAGGGCTCTGAAACATGTGAAGCTACAGGGGAATGGCTGGGTGCCAGAGACAGGCACCTTCCATGCCACTGCCAAGGCAGCAAGATACTGCGCACTGCCACGTTCTTCATAAAATTACAAAAACTGGTAATTTATAGTAAATCCTTCCCAATTAAAGACCATAAAGCTCTGCAGTTAATCAAGCTGATTAAACGAATCAAATTTGTTAAGAACAGTTTTATCAAAACATTTACATTTCTGCTGAGCAGAGATTCATGTGACTTTGAACTGCAAAGTACACAGGTTGCCATGAGAGGACTAAAAAGAGGATTGGGAACATTAACCATGTGAAAAATCAAGCCTCCCTTGCCTCTCCCAGCATTCATTTAAACAAAGGAGCTCCCCAGCCCATTAATTTCATCACCCTGTTGGGTATCTTCTGCTTCATGGAAAGAGAGGCATCGCTTACCCACAGGTAGGAGGTTTTCCTGACACATGGGTCCAAAGGCGGGGACTTCACCTCCCACCTTACGAAACATCTCCAGGCCAAAGGTCCTTGGAGAGCAGCACCCCTCACCCAACCCATGGTGTACCTCCATGGCATGTGTCCAGGTAAAACGATGGCCTCTTCTCTCAGGTCTGAGAGTGCCTACAGAACAAACATGTCTGTAAGAGTACACAACACAAACATTTCCATAGCTGTCTGGAAGATTAAAGTAAATCAGCAGGAGATTTTTTCCTTTTATGTAAGTCTGCTCAGCTTCAGTCCCTGCAGAGATAGGTCCAATAAACGCCTTAGATGCCTAACTTCTTAATTTAGACACTCAAACCTCCTCTTCAGCTGTTGCCCAACCGTGGAGAGGCATATTGCTGAGAGGCACTTAAAGTTCCTCCAGCATCCTACGTCCTTCAGAAGAGAGCTGAGCCGGTTGGTGGCGAGGTCCTAATTACCTGTGCCACATTAGGACCCACCAGCAACGTGTCCTCCCAGAGCCTCATTTGATGGGGCTGAGCTGGGAGCAGATAGACTTGTAATGGCTGGCTACAGGCTGAGTTGGCACTGAAGGTTTTCTCTGAGCTTATGGAGAGAGATGCACCCTCTCTCATCACTCCACACCTCTTTTAGGATAAATAACCTGTGGAGGTGGCTCACTGTAGAGCAAGTCATGATGGAGGGACTTCACACTGAACACGTCACTTCTGGACAGCTCAAATACGATCATGTCCACAAATATTTCCATCAGCATAAACAGCGATTGGATAGCAGACCATGGCCGGGAACAGGGTGTCTAACCAGACGGCAGCAGGCATGCCTGCTTGCCAAAATGGCAGTTGTCACAGCTAGTTAGCCCACAGGCATGCAGAAGGCAGGTTAGTGTGGGCTTCAGATCCTTCTCAAATATGTAGCCCACCTGATGGATGGGTTTTATTTGCTGCTGCCACAAGCACTACTATCCATGGCACCTAGTTTGAAGGTAGTACTGTGTGTGTCAGATCAGCACTGCAGCCACAATAATGTCCTATTCATTGAGGATTTAAACAGTGAGAGTGCACAAGCCCAGCTAAAAAGGCGGTGGGAATATGCCTTCCCCGTTCTCTTGAAGAGCATGTTCCAGGAGATCTGCAGATTCAGCATTTCGCAGCAAGTTCTGCTAAGGCAAAGACAAACTTGGCATCAGCGCTTCATCTTCTGTGCCATATGCTTTATTTGTCTGGGAGTTGTTTTTCCTGCAGGGGAGGGTGGATTGGCAGGTATGGAAAGAAATTCATTAAAATTACTTTGGTTGGTTCTTTGTGCTGGCCACCATCTCCATCTTGATTTTTATTTCTCATGCCCAGAACAATCCTGAAACAAAGACATCCTCTCCTGGAGCACAACAAATACTCATGACAGGAGTGTCTGAAAGGCCATGCTCCTTGGATGAGCCTGCAAAAGTTACAAGTCATGGCTGAGGTATTTCTAAAGAGAGTAGTAGAAACCAAAAGGCTGATAATAAAAGTAACACATGTTATGAAACTAAATATACTGACATACCATGCGACAACCTGGGTATTGGTAAAGGTACTTTATCTCCTATGTGCAAACAACTTGCCTGGTTTTGCAACAACAGGTTTCTTGGAGGATGCTTGTACTGCGCTACCTATTCCATTTTGCACTGCTTGACAAATAAATGGCAGGCTTTTTAATGGAAAGACAGACATTTGATTATTTTAGGTTCAGGGATTCTGGCCAATTCCTTCCCAAAAGTGGCTGGGGTTGAATAGCCAAAGAAAATTTATGCACTTAAACTTAATGGGGCTTAAACACTGCAAGTAACAACATAGAAATGGACAGAAGCCTGAGGGGTAGCAGAAATCTCCAAGACAAGGACTTTTCTGCTCTGAGAAAACGCCAGCAGCTCCTGATAGAGGCCATTATGAATGCATTTACATGTTCTGCTCTTTAAATGTATATATTATTTTCAGTTTAAAAGAAGTCTGCATTCATTCTCAGAGTCCTGTGATCTTTCTGTACCAAATGGTTGCCAGGTCTCTCCATAGGCAGTAGCTAGTTTTTATTTACCCATACAAAACAAAGCTTTGAAGGGTTCAGACCTCAAAAGGAGAAAAATTAACCCGGCAGCCACAGGCAAACAGGGTGGGACATTGTGCTCCCACAGCTTTGGAGAAGCTTCCAGTTCACTGCCAGTTTAACATAATGATACTGGGGAACTACCCGGACAAAGCTCTTTGCCTCTCTCCTTTCTCTGATTGTGAGGTTAGGTCTAAAACCTATCCTATTTCCACCTCTAATGCCTGCAGGAAAGAAATTAGTCAAAAAGGTTTCTTAAGAAAAATTAAATCTGCATAGACATCGAGTAAATGTTCTTCAGGTAGCGCATGTTTCACAGTCTGGGCTTAGGTGTCATTTACAGAGTAGGTTGAAATTGGCTCCTTTCATGTCCTAATGCACTCTGAATATAAAAATGAAGCGTCACCTGCACATACAAAATGCATATATCATTCAAAAGCTTTTACCTGTCCAAACAATAAGCTCTTAAAACCTCTGCCCAAGTTTTGGCAGAATGCATTAGTGCCCAGAATAACCAAGGGCTCTGGCCCATCCTTCTCTAGAAGAGCCTTGCTCACCATTTTAACGCCCCTTCCTCTCCATGTAACAGAACTGCCCCTGCCAGCCCGCTCAGTCCCCAGGGGTGCACACTGCAGCTGTGGAGGGGAAAGGAATTGTTCCCCAGGCCGGAGAATTATGAACCTTTAAAGCATTTCTTTTTTTTTTTTTTTTGAAAGGATCATTTTGGATTTAGTAATGAGGAAGAGAAGAGTGCACAAGCTTCTGTTTCTTGGTATGACTTCAAGCTCACAAAAAAGTGTTTCTGAGATGGGGGAGTGGGAAGGAAAACAGCATCTAACAGCTCCTGCCTGGGACATGGGCAATGCAAGGAAACATATTTGGAAAAATAATCTGTAGCAGCCACTGAAAAGGGTCTAACATAGGAATGAGTGAGTAGCAAACTACATGCTGATTTATAAAATAAGAGGGCCTGATTTTGACCTACAGAGAGGTGAAGAGCATCGTATAATAAAGCAGAATGAAGATGGCTTCTCTGCAGCATGCTGCTGGGACTGAGCTGTTCTCGAAACAAAGAAAGCAACTGCAGGCACTCATGTGTCAAAGAGATGTTGGCATATTGGAAAGAATTCAGTAATGAACAACAATCAAATAACTAAAGGGAAGATTAAATAACTAAATAGTACAGTTTAGGTAAATAAATCCCTATGAGGGAGATAAAATCATTTGAAGGTGTCAACATCAAGGAGAGAGTGCTGTTACACAGCTCTAGATGAAGCGTAACAAGAAAGGAAAATACCTGTTCCTGCAGAAAAGGAAAATGCAGACTGGCAGTAAGAGCTGCCAGCCCCCTGCCACTAACTTTCACAGTCCTCTCAACCCCCTACCAAAACCTTCATCAGAGTAGAGGTTGTAAGGTGAGCCCGGAGGAGTCCCCAGGACCGATCACAGCCATGGTGACAAAACCTGCCCACAAAGCAAACTGCCACACACGCCATGTGTGCCACACACCAGCAGGGTTGGAGCCAGTGTCCCTGTTCCCCTAGAGCCTGCAAATGCCATATTACAAACACAGATCAGTGTTAGCCTGTAGTGGTCGGCTAACCGAACACGTAGCAGTAGCATTTCACACGTACATGTATGTCTTTTCTGGTGGGGCCCATCCACAGAGCCTATATTTCTCATTTCCCCCTGTGAGCACTGTCTGGACTTAAAAGTTACTTAACACTTTATACTAATGACTGCTTTCCACTATGCACAGCTTTGCTAAAGCTCAGTTGCTTGAGCTCAAATACACCGTGCTGGATGTCTGCCTCAGGCAGACTCTTTTGATAATTTTTAGCTAAAATAATTCAACTGTCTCCTAGAATAAGATTAGCAAGGTATATGTTAGCTGGCTCTGTTCAAATCGAGAGATTAAGCTCCTCCGTCTTCAGGGGCTGGCACCAATACTCAGACAGGGAAAAGAGACGTAACTTCGCAAGGGTCCTAAGTTTTCCCACCTGTAGTCAAGTTCCAAGTTCTACAAAACATCACTCTGCAAATGCCCGATGTGGACTCATTTGAGTTTGGCAGAATTTATCTGAGGACTCCATCTGGTTTGGTCTTATTGCAGGCCAGGGACACAGACACTGGCTGTTGTCACCATCACCAAGGGCTGGAGTCTGCCATGGCATGAAGGCGGAGTGGGGATCCTCTCATCCTGCAGAGCTGCAACAAGGCAGGATGAGGACGCTTCCCACACAGCCACCACTCACCTGCCAAGAATGGTCCACCCTGGGCTTTAAAAGAGGTAGAGTTGTTGGGGGGGAAAAAAAAAAAATTACATATGCATTTGATCCTGCAGCTAGAAGCAACACTATTATGATGTCTGTGAAGACTGGAGCCGCACTCAGATGGCAAAGGCAGTGTTAAATCAAGCATTCCTAACTGCCAAGTGCTTGACCCTACAAAATTCCCATACTTTCAAACTATGTTGGGTTTGTGTCATTTCCTTGATTTGCAGATGGCAAACTGAAACAAAAATGCAGGAATCCCATCATGCAGCACCACAACAGCCACAGCATGACTCACCAGCAGGACTGGCTCTTATTCTCAGATGTTAATTCCATCGTGCTTGAAAAGCAGAATAACTGGGAATACTGATAGCCCTTCAGCCTCTGCTGAGGGAGCAAGCAGGAATGAGTCACAGCCTGTGCCAATGGCTTCCCCAAATATTTGCTGACAACAGACAACTACTGTGCAGCAGAAACCCCTGGGCCTGCTGTATCCCAGGTTCTGCAGGAGGTAGGATCTGGTGGGGAGAAATACTCACAAACCTTACTCCTCCTGCACCTCCCAGCCTGTCTTCTGCCTTGGTCCTGCTCCCACATCCTGCTCCACATCTGACATCAGTCCTCCTTTCTCGGCAGGGGGTCCTCAGCCTAGCTGCACTAGGGCTCCCTCCCTCCCTCCCTTGGCCAGGTCCTAGCCCTAGTCAACATCAGCCTTCCCACGTGTTCACCCAAGTATCAGCGAAGGAGCACATCTGACAGCATCTCCAGGCTCTGGTCTCCAGTACTGCAGCAACCCTGTCAGCACGGAAAAACAATTTCAAAGAGCTGCTGCTCTGCACCTGCAGCAGGAGGCTGCAATGTGCCTGCCACACTCTCATCTGTGATTTTAGCTGACAGACTTGAACAAGTCTCCACTGAGCAAGTGCCTTCAGAGAATTCAGCTTCTAACTCTTAAGAAGTTTCTGTTGAGTGTCTGAGATCTGAGGCTTTTTTTTTCTAAGGTTTCTTAGTTCAACTTTTTTTTTCTCCCATGAAGAACAACCAAAGGCGCATTCCTGATACCTGCCAAGGACAGAAAGTGCTAGAGTTTCTCAACAGATCACTTTAAGAACATGTTTGAATATGAAAAAAAATTTTTTTTTCATCTCTTGAAAGCGAGCAAAACCATTTTTTGCTGAAGTTTCCCAGATGCATTCAGCCTGAGACAGATACCTAGCACAGAAGAAAACAGCTAAGTGGTAAACGGTTCAAGTTTTCAGGGGTTTACAGGCAGCTAAACATTTGGTCTTGTAAGAAATGTTGGATAGACTTAAAACCAGAAGCACCGAAGTCATCAATTACATGTAATTTAAACTGCGCTTCTGCTGAGCCAAGAGTGGAGATGAACAGAAAATGTACGAATTTGACGGCAAATTCCCCAAATTTGTGACTGCTTTTGTTCTTTCTAAGAAGATCATACGGAAGGCACTGGTTATCTTTGGAGGTGCCTGTGCTTAACACAAGCTGCTTAGGCAGAGACTGAGATCTAGATAAGCTCAGCAGGTGGCTCTCCCCAGGACCTCCACTGGCTCCTCACAAGCCCACTCTGGGACCCATCTCTCCCTTTTCCCCAGCGCTTGGGGACCTCCAGGCAAGGCTACTCGTTCTGGGGAACACGAGGGGGATGCAGGTGCCAAGCAGACATGTCGCCTTGCCTGGAGCTTGGTTGGGAGCTAGACACAGAGTGCCGCTGAGCTGGGCTGGGGAGCAAGCACCCCGTCTTCTCAGATTTACTGTGTATTTGTGAGTTATTTAGAGCCTGGAGTAATGGGCACCTTAGAAAATCCTCAGAGAAGAGTGCTGCCAAACAGAGGGAAAGCCGTGGGTTGTTATTTTGGATCAGG